ACTAAAAATTGAAAAAAATTAATTTACAGACCTGGTTCAACACAAAACATGTTATTTTTCTATTTGTCTATCGCTATCTGTAAAGAAATTGCCGCTTAGATGTTACAGAATTTTTGGAAATATAATTCCATTCTCAGTGCCAAATGGCAGCACGATATAAAAATTAGGCACAGGGTAACGTCGCACCACAATGTCGCTCAAGCCTTCTGGATGCTGGCCACTTGATGTAATAAGAAATTTTTTTGAAACCAGCTTCTAAATCATTTTTTTTTTCACCAAAACTATGCGCGATGGCCCGTTTTTATAAGAGACAAAAATGAAGTAAATAAAATGGTCTTTTGAATAAAATTAATTCAGAGTCATTTAATTAACTATTTTTTATAGATATTATTTATATATATCTATATAATAATAATAATAATAATAATATTTATTTACTCAATGTTCAAAGATAACAAACAATATGAGTAAATAAATATAAAATCAAAACAGGCCCAATAGAAGGCATCGCCTGTACATGGACCAATAATTTAAGTTGAAACTGTAGAATGCAAATGACAGAAAAGGACAAAAATTAGCTACAGTAGATTATGTATTTAGTTGATGTTCGTATTTATGAGTTTATGAATTTCAGTCCTAGATATAGAATGTAGCCACTTTTTTAAATTTCTTTTGAAACAATTTCCGAAACGTAAATCTTTTAAGTCTTTAGGTATAATTTCATAAAATTTAGGCCCCAAATAGAGATATGATCGCTGCATTATAGATTTATGCGGTTGAGGAACTGTGCCACGAATTTTGTACCTGGTATAATGATTATGTTTAATTTTTTGGTCGGTGTTTACAAATTTATGGTAGTGAGTGATACTGTGTAAGAAATAAAGCTGTCTTATATCATACATTCGAACATCTGCATATAATTTTTCAGTGGGATAAAGTTTCGGTTTTTTAAATATCATTTTTAGAATACTTTTTTGAAAAACATCTAAATTATAGATATGTGAGGAACATGCAGCTCCCCATGCTAATATACCATATGTGAGATGAGGCTCAATCAGTGCATGGTATAATGTTCGAAGATATTTTTCTGTCAATATATTCCCAAGGTATTTAATTTTGTAGGATACAAATCTAACTTTCTTTAAAATATAATTGACATGGATGTCCCATCGTAAGTGAGGATCCAAGACCACTCCAAGGTATTTTATGTTGGGCACTCTATTAATTTGCATTTTTTGATCATTAATATTGAAGGAGAAATTTGTGTAATTTGGCAGATGTCTAGCATAAGATCCAAATGGTAAAAAATGTGTTTTAGAGTAGTTAATGCTTAATTTTCTACTGTTAAACCACCGAATAATTTTGATAAAATCAGTTTCAATTACATTTTTCAGATCAGACCAGTCAGTGCCTTCATATAATATTGCAGTATCATCTGCAAAACTAGTTATTTTGCCAACACAATTAATTTGGATAGTTGCGCAAAAATCCTGCTATAATTTATGTAGGGGTGGGCTTTCACCCTTCTCGAACCCTTTCTGGTTTTTTGTAAAAGTCAAAAATACTAGGACGTCTAACAAAACACCCGTGTTCCAAATTTCATTCAAATTGGAATATCGCTTCCAAAAATATCTGAAAAAATGCATTTGAAATAACAACTAGACGCCCTCTAACGGACAATCGAACCCCTTTTGCGAAGAGATAAATCATGTCCACTCGACTTATTTTGAGTCTAAAAATACGTGCTACTTATATGTCCACAGATTATTGGGACACCCTACAGATAGATAAATTTATTGGTGTTAAAATACACATACGCGTTTATACTGTTTACCAACTTGAAATAATGAATGCTACTGCATATAATGCAAGTCTCTAATCTTAGGAGACTGTAAACTGTGAATAACTAAGCTAGCTGTATTGTCGTAATTAGCATTGTATATTCTTAGATCATTATTTTTAATAAAACCTCGTGGGTGAGTCCAGGCATAGTACCTACCGAGTCATACAGAATTTATTATTTACTTGTGGTTTCACTGTTAATTCTGACTGCATAAATGGAGGAAAAATAATTACTACTTCTAAATTATGAATGAAAATGCACATACATTTTTGTCATCTAGATCCTGAATCGTAGATTTTGTTTGTTGAAATTATACTAAGTGACATATAAATCCGAACACCCAGTTTAAATGGTTTTATTTTAATAAAAGTTGGTGAATGTATTTATCTTACTGCAAATAACAAGTGAAAAAATTGTCAGCCTTATCAGTTGGACATTCCGGCTTTTATACTGCTTTTTTTTAATTCACTAACGCTCTAAAAATGAATATTTCAGCCGCAGTAAAGAATCAACGTTGGCGGATTTTGGTTCTTGACATCCTTTACGATCGGTTACGGTGCCTAGAGTACGGAGACCTGTACGATTTCGTCAACTTAGTGAGTTTGATAGGGGCCGTATAGTGGGACTTCGGGAAGCTGGACTTTCTTTTCGGGCAATTGCAGTTAGAGTGCAAAGAAGTGTAGACACTGTGGTTAGGTGTTGTCAGGCATGGCTTCGAGAAGGCCGTACGCAAAGAGCAAGGGGCACTGGACGCCGCCGTAGAACAACATACCGTGAAGATCGCCGCCTAAGATTATTGGCCTTAAGGGACCGTTTCTCCACTACTAGGTCCATTGCAAATGAATGGTTTGCAGAACACGGATGACCTATTGGCATGCGAAGTGTTTACCGACGAATGAGAAGTTTTGGCTTGTTTTCATACCGGCCACACTCTGTCCTCCCTTTAACTCGAGAACACCGACGTAATCGCCTTGAGTGGTGCAGACAACGGTCACTCTGGGATCAGGAATGGAACAGTATTGTCTTTAGTGACGAGTCTCGATTTTGTTTAGGCATGCACGATGGTCGTGCCAGGGTTAGAAGGCGACGTGGTGAAAGGAGGAATCCACAGTTTTTTGTTGAAAGACATGTTCATCACACTGTTGGAGTTATGGTTTGGGGTGCTATAGCTTATGGTTCCAGATCACCTTTAATCTTCATCAGAGGTAACATGAACGCGCAGCGTTATATCCACGAAGTTCTAGAACCCCATCTTTTACCCTATCTTGACACCCTGGCAGATCCAACTTTCCAACAAGATAATGCCCGACCACATGTTGCAAGAGTCACAATAGACTTCTTTCAACATAATGATGTCACATTGTTACCATGGCCACCAAGATCTCCCGACTTATCCCCAATTGAGCACGTGTGGGATATGATGGGTAGGAGATTGCTCAATTTGCAACGTCCTCCTCAGACTCTAGAAGCACTTCGAGAGGAGTTGATGGTTGCCTGGAATGAGATACCACAGGAGGACATTGACCACCTGATCAGAAGCATGCCTAGGCGCGTTGGAGAATGCGTAGCACATCAGGGTGCATCCACACATTATTAAAGGTCAAAGGGCTTTAAAGCAGTGCAATCATTTTGAAATTTTTATCATTTACTTATTATGCTTCATTAAGTACTTATACAAAATTTTATTAAAATAAAACTATTTAAACTGGGTGTTCGGATTTATATGTCACTTAGTATATTTCAAACCAATCGTTTCAAATGATTGAAGCTAATATCTTAGAAACAATACTATTCTTTGAAAAAAACAACCTAACCAAAAAATGGCGTCAAGTAGACTGACTCTGCACGTCCCACGCAAGGCCGTCATCAGTTCATTATTAATATTATTATTTTTGGTCATACAGATCCGAACAATTAGTCCATAGATATTTTTCCCCAGCCTACCGGTAGTAGCGTCCATGTGGCAACGTCGCGTCTCCGCTAACCGCACAACGCGTGTTACGTTTTAAGGGCAAATGAACAGCGAAATCTAGTGCGTCGAATTATCATTTTTTGAAAATGATCAGGAGCTTCTGAAACACCAAAAAATGGTTTGAGCAATTTACTATTTTATCCACGTATCTCTAAAGCCACTGGACTCGATTTTTCGAAAACCTTGAAGCCCTTGTAGGCCAAGGCTTAGCAGGCATACCGACAGATAGACAGGTTGACAAACAAACCGACAGACCGACAGACAAACAGCCCGACGGAAATGAGTGACATGGTTTTTCGTAATGTCATATAACATCCAAAAAAAAATTCTCATTTTCGAATTTTTTTGTTATTACGATACTTCCTTGCCAGCAGCCGTGGGAAATAAAAGCAACATACTGTATGTTTGTCGATCAGGTAGGATGATTCTTTATATTAACGAACATGGTCTTTAAAATAAATAATACAGTCCTAATATCTCTACAATCACTTAATAAGCAAATACACAAAAATTATTAAAAACTGTTTCTGAAATACTGAATTCAGCATTTATAAAAACATTTTGATTCAGGCATAGTGTATTTTTAACTTACTCTTGGATTCAATGACATATGTGAACTTTTGGTTTTTCATAACATATGATATTCCAAAAGAAACATGGGCGTTAGCCTTTTTCACATTGTTATATTTTGATTAAATAAAATATATAGGTCATTTTTGGGTATGTATATCATATGTAAATACAAGACTAGCATAGGTTTGACAAGCTTCAAAAAAATTGATATAAAACCATTATTTTTTCACCAACGCTACATTTACTATAAATGGTAAATTTTCTAAATGATAATAACAATATTTGAATAGGCGCTGATTCAAATATGTCAATTGTTTCTTGAATACAAGCTTCACAAATTAAACAAAACCTGTCTAAAGTTAGAGTGATGACGATAATAAATCATCTAGGTATCATGTATTACACATGCATGTAAAAAGTGCCAAGCGAAAATGGGAGAGGAAGGGTGGATATCTAGATTTAGGTTAGAAACTTCACATACCAAAAATTGCATTAGGTTTCTGTGAAGGTTTTCTTATGGTTCTTTGGAGCAGAGTAACACATAAAACTAGTAAAAACCACCTCGAGAAATCCGTATATCCCCCCACCTCCCTAAAAAACGTGCAACCTTACCTAATACTAGGAAGCCGGCGCGGAAAATCGGAAAAACCAGTCAGAACTAACACGACGAAACATGAAAACACAAACCGGTAAAACCGTGCTAGGAGAGCGGCCTCATCTCTGTGGAATTTCTGCAGATTTGGGAAAAAATCGATATAAGAGGCTTTGAATTTGGGCGAGTACCAAGTTGGGAGCAGGCACGGCGGCAGGGCAACTGCCTAGCGGCGCGGTGCATGCGTCCCGACGGCGACCCTCTAGCGGACGTCGCGGGAATTAGGCGATGCAGGTCGCGTGTGTGGACGTCGACGCCCTGGCTTAAAGAATACAGAGTTACCAGTAGCAGGGGCACTCGCGAAAAAAACTCGGATCCTTTTTTTGGGTGTCTCGACTCGACTGTCTCACCTGAAGAGGTCCCGCACTTTTTTTAGCTTTATACACAGCTGTGTTACTTTATCGCACGTACGGAATAGATTGTCAAAAAACTGTAATGGCATCGAGTATTTGTATTTATTCAGGGTGATTCGTGTCATTATTATTTTTATGGCATGGACAATCGATGACAAATATATTTTGCTTAAAAAAATACGAGTTGAAAAATAGTTTTTAGTCTCTTCGTCACTGACTGGCGATGATTCATCTGTCGTACTGTCTTCTTTGTCATTACGTAAGCTCAGTAACAACTGTGCCGATTTTGCCAAAACTTGGAATATACTGTTGAGTATAAATATAAAACAATTGTTTTTTAAATTTTCGTATCTGTACTTAGGTGGAAAATTGAAATAAAGAATAGAAAATAACGTGGCAGAAATGAAATGAGATTTCTTTAAACTAAAAAGGAATGGCTATGAATCCCACCTGAGGAGGTGTACCAGTAGTAACTTCCCTAATCTAAAAATATATAGGTCAAACCAGTAATAGGCATCGCTTTCGTCCATCCGACCACTGAGGGACAACCATGGACAGCTGTTTCGTGCTATTTGGTAACTCCTCAGGTTTCGGCTTGGTCTCTAAGACAGCCATTTGTTGTCTGAATCGACCACTGCGAATTGTTTTCACTTTTACAGCGGTCGATTCTGGTAACAGATGGCACTTTGTGCTGTCTGATCTCGATAAATCTATAGATGAAAAGTTATTGTTCTTAATTTACGATTCGCTTTGTTTCCCCTAGCAGTGACTATATCCCGGTTGACATATAAAAGTGAAAGGAAAGATCAACAGAAAACTATTCACAAGGGTGAGTGTAAATGACGCCCCAGGCTTCAGTTTTCAGTCGTTGACCTACGTTGATGTCTACACAAGACAGCTCAACCAAGTTCTTTGTAAATATTTTCTCCAACTCCCTAACATATTGAACGAAACTCCGAAAATACAGTATCAACCCTCCAGATTGATCATGGGTTATACTGGGAATCAGAAGTAAAACTACACCTCACATTTTTGTGATGTCGCGTCTTTGACACTGGTACGGGACCAGAGGTATCGACTCCACCGCGGCAGAATCCTTTTTTCAATCAAGTGGTTCTTCTACTGGTAACTCTGTTTTCTTTGCCCTGGTTGGCGGTAGGCGTCGACCAGGCCGCCGCACGCGAGGCTGGGCGGCGTTGTCAAGCTTACGATTTTTCCGCTGGATATGTCGCCATTTTGATGAACGCCGTTAATCGAAAACCATGTAAAAATTTAGAAATAATTTTGTATGGAAACAGGTTCATGGTCATTTTGCTTCTTTGAAAGTTTGTCGTATAGTCAATGTATTACGAGAAGTTAAACGGTAGGCGTACATGTAATATAAAGGTTGAACTAAAAACCAAAAAGTATCAAACACTACAATTTTTTGTAGAGAATACGGCATATTCCACACGCTACATACGCTGTTACGTTGTCCGCATACATATAATTAACATTATGTCATGTGAAGATAAATTCATAATCATCATCTATGATCAAGGATACCAGTTAACAGTGAAAAGATCCGATCGAAAGCCAAAAAGTTATGACCGAAAACGTCGCCTAAATATTTAAAATTCCTCAGATCTGTGATCTCATACTTCTAAATAACCATAACAAAATTGGAATCAATCGGTCAAGTAGTTTTTAGAATTTCCCATTCTTTTGTACCAAAACAGCCATTTACCAGCCAACATCACCAGACGATGAAGCAAAATAAAAGCTTCATTAAGTGGGCTTTTGATCGCTATACTCAGATTTATCTCACCAATAATCAAAAACTATTTCGCAAGCTACCACCAGGAGTTCCCAAAGTGGTCCAGGTGGGGTCCCAAGGAGAAGACTCAACGCGGGGACTACGTTGACGTGACAAACATTAGGGTTCCAAGTTGTATGATGGTTAAAATGTTGTCAAATAATATTTTAATTACAATAGAGGGCCAGCGACTTTCTCTCGTATTTAAAAACTTGAATATTCGATTTTCGGCTCTACGATTTATGTGATTTGGCAACACCGCATTCTGCGTTCCGTGTCAGTTGACAGTCGTGTGTCAATGTCAGGTGATAACGACCATTTCTCAAATATTCGAATTCCAGCCGAAAATCGAAGATGCCTAACCTCTCTTTTCTGCGTATGTTGGCAAGGTGAATGAATATTTAACAATAAAATAATAGTAACAATCAATTTTTCGTTTTCGTCTCTTCTTTATTAAATTTTGTCTTTATAATACGTATTTATGACATGAAGCAGAGATCCACTGTTACGAATTTGGCCACGTTCAGTCAATATCTATGTGAGACGGTAGACAATAGGGGTTTAGTTTATATCATATATACTGATTTCACAAAAGCGTTTGACAAAATTGCCATCAACTACTTGTACCAAAAATTGAATACATGGGTTTCAACAGAACTTATGTGGATCTTCTCAAGTCTTATCTAGACTTGAGAACTCAATATGTATTCTATAATGGCTTTAGTCATATATGTCAAGTAGTGGTGTACCTCAGGGTTCCAATTTGGGCCCCCTATTGTTTGCCTTATACGTCAACGATCTTTGCAGCACTTTATCATGCAAGAAGCTTATGTTTGCTGATGATCTGAAGCTTTACGCATGTGTTTCTAGCTGGCAGGATTGTGAAAACCTCCAACAACAACTAGTTTTTTTACAAACATGGTGTGTTAATAACAATTTGTATTTGAACAATTCCAAATGCCGCATTTTGACCTTCACCCGGAAAGCCAAATTTTTAACTTACCCATACAAAATAGATGATTCTGTATTGGAAAGGTGTGAAACTTTCAAGGATTTGGGCGTCTATTTCGATTGTCAGCTCACTGTTAACTACCACATAGTGAAATTATAAGAAATGCGTATCGCAAATATGGCTTTATTATCAGAAATTGTAGAAATTTCAATAACACAACGCTTATTAGGTTATTTTCAGTGCTTGTTATAAGTAAATTAGTATATGGTGCAATTATTTGGTGTCCTATCTATAAACTGTACAAAAATAATGTTGAAAAAGTGCAAAAGAAATTTCTAAAATATCTATGCTATAGGAGTGATGGTGTCTATCCTCCAAGAGGATGTGACTACTCACAATTATTGAATAGATTTGGCGTTCCTTCTTTGGAAAAGCGCAGAGAGCAGACGTCCATCATATTTTTATACAAATTACTGCATGTTAACATCGACTGTCCTGTTTTCCTGGTATCTAGATTGACATCTAAATATAAAGTTTCCTTTTACTGAAAGAGAGCACAGACAAGTGAGCAGTAGTCATTGCCAAAGCCAACGACCAGTTGGGCATAAAATACAATTAATTGTTAATTGGGAAATTGGCAAATTTTTAGGCTTAAGTTGACTCTTTTGACGATAAAATCAAGCTTCCGGCATTCTCTATGGAGCCTTCATCAGGATTCTGAAAACACAATTGTGATGATAGCAAAGAACACAGGACAGATTTAAATTGTCAAACAACTTACTCGTCGTTGAGGTTGCAGCCACAAGGTGTTTCAAAACGAACGTAGAGAAGATAGAACTTGTAATAAGTATTAAAACAAAGGGACGGAGACATTGGGCTTGATAACGACATATACCTTCGTTACATGTTAAGAACATCAATACACCCGAACATATTAAAAATTATTAAACATGAGAAGACATTTTAGGGAAACAATCGGAATACAGTCTCTAACCTCCTACTGGCTGTCGGGTAAGATTGTTATTCTTCTCCTAGGCCCACCCTCCTCCAGAATGTGAGATACACAAGCCAGAATCGCAAAGATTTCCGCCTGGAAAATAGTGGTGTATCCACCGAGAGGCAGAGATAGCCTAGTTCTAGGCCCAGAGACCCCAGCACCTGAGCCCTCTTCGGTGACCGAGCCGTCCGTGTACCAGACCTGCCCGCTCACTCCGGAGAGTCCCCGGCTACCGGCGTCCCACTCCTCCCTCGTTGGATACTCCACAATAAACTTGTGGTTGAAGCGATATTTAGGGTTAATACGATCATCCCTGCTTAGAAGGACGGGGTCCTCTCTTTGTAATTCGACTAAGATGGCAGTATGCCCCTTGACAGGATTCAAGAAAGCCCAGCTGCCCTGACTCCACAGTCGATGAGCGACTACTCTCGCTTCACCGCGGATCACCAGATCCAACGGTGGGAGATCCAACAGAGCTTCCATTGCACTCAATAGAGTTGTTCGCACTGCGCTTGTAATACTAATACAGGCCAAACGCTGAATTTTATTGAGTTTGGCCTTAGTTGTCTCAGTTCTAATGCAAGGCCACCAGACCAGGGAGCCGTATAAGAGAGATGGACGTACTATCGTCGTGTAGAGCCCAGTATACCACTTTGGGTTTAAGCCGCTACCTTACCCCGACAACACGTCTACAAGCCCACATCGAATTGCGAGCCTTGCTAACCTTGTATTCAACATGCTCTCTCCAGTTCAGTTTGCAATCCAGGATAATTCCCAGATATTTCACTGACTGGGACAAAACTAATCTAGTACCCAAGAAGGTCGGCATGACCAGCCCGTCAAGCCTTCTTCTCCTAGTGAATAGGATCAGCTCGGTCTTTTCAGCATTCAGCAACAGAAAGATCGACTTCCCTACACCACGATTCCACGGAGCGCAGAGCGCCCTGCATAATTTCCGAGACTGTTCTACAAAAAGGCCGCCTAACTGCTATGCTTACGTCATCAGCATAGGCTTTCACGTAGATCCCGATCTTGCTTTAATGTCTTTGCATAGGACCCTGTGTATTCTCGCAGTAGCAGGAATGTCGTTTATGGACTGACAGAAGTACCTCCAGGATTCTCTAGAGGCCATTCTAATCTCCTTTTTGTACTCCTGCAATGCCTTTTTGTAGTCTTCCCATAGAGGAGAACTTCTCCTGTGCTTAACTCTGCTAAGAAGTTTGTGCACCGCTCGTTTTCTATCCTCTAATTCTTTGGTCCAGAAGGTTGCCTTGCCCTTACCTTGGACTTTGCGTAACGGGCAGTTTTCCTCGTATGCAAGTCCCTGCTCAGAGACTCGACAGCTGCTTCTATGTCAGAGCCCCTGCAAAGTCTGTATGGGACCGGTCCAAGCTTACTGTCAATGTCTGCCCTAAAGGACCCCCATCTAGTATGCCTGGGATTCCGAGCATATTTATCCGGAATCTCTCCATCAATCTTAAACAAGGTCCCCCATTTCCATGGATGGAGGAGGCTCTCTTGAATCGTAAGGAAGGTAAGCCGAACATACAACCAAGTCCCTGTCACTGCCTTCCTTCTTATATCTAATTCTGACTGCAACTAAGTCTCTGAATGTAAATTCCTTGTATTAATTGAATGCATTTGGCCGTGTGTTGGGAGTTTTTCCCTATTTTTAAATATGTACACAAAAGATTTATCATGGGGGACAATTTTTTAACTAAAAACTACTTCACCCCTTTTCACCCTCTGCCCCCCAGGGTCATCCCCTTAAAAATTTTAAAAGTCCTTTATTTTGACGTTTGATTTTTTATATCGGTCGATCCGTTTTCAAGAAAATTAGAAAAATCTTCATTTATCTTAATTTGTTGATATAGAAAACAAAAACACTCGAAAATATCACTATTTATTACAATAAGTGTTCAAAATGTTGCCCGTTATTGGCCAAACAGTGATATAGGCGATGTTCAAATTCCTGACGGACATTTTTAAAATGTTGTGGAGTATCATATAGCAGCTTTCGATGATGCGTTGACGAAGTTCATCCAAACTTTCAGGTTGGGCAGTAAACTCAATAGATTTCAAATGGCCCAATAGTAAAAAGTCTAATGGCATCAAATCAGGAGATCTACCAGGCCTTCTTCGCCCTATCCATTTATCTGGAAACTCGTCGCTAGCCATTGCCGAACCGTTAAGTGTGAGCAGAAAGTGCCGTCTTACTGGAAATATATTTCAGCCTCATCAAGTGTGTTTTTGTTTTCTATCTGAACGAATTAAGATAAATAAAGATTTTTCTAATTTTATCGAAGACGAATCGACTGATTTTAAAAAATCAAACGTCAAAACAAAGGACTTGAAGAGTTGAAACAAACCTAACAAAATAAAGTAGGACCAACCTAACGAGAAAAAGTAGGAACATAGTTAAACTCGATACACAAACAATAGTAATAATAATAAGAAGAAGAAGAAAAAGAAAAATAAGTAAATGAATTGAATAGATAGCGTGTTGGCAATACGCACACACGAGCCAACAGTAATATGAAACAGAAAAAGAAAAAAAATATTTAACAAATGCACACTTAACTATCCCGTCAGATGTTTCTTAACGAGCCTCCTGAAAGGTACTATGGTTTCACTGCGATACATTTTATCTGTAGAGTTGTATAACTTGACAGCATGAAATGTGAAGCTTTTCTGGAAAAGGGCTGTGTATCGGACTGGCATCGCAAAATTTAGGTTGTGTCTGAGATTTCTCTGATTAATGCTACATCTTGGTACTAGCATTTGTAAAATGTAGGGTGGCTTTTTTGTGCGAACTACTTTATGGACAAACACCTTCATAGCATAAACAAACTGTGATTCCATCTTTAACCAATTTAAATCTTTAATCTTCGAAGAAACATGACTATATTTACGTCCTGCTGCAGTTGTTTTGAATTTTTTGTAACCTATACCGATCCGACGAATCCAAATAAGAGTAGAATAATATCAGAGACTGTTGCAAAGATGATAGGAACTGAACATGAATGAATAAACCAGTAAGTGTTAGTACTCTGAATCTCTTAAAGAGAACATGAATGAACAACAATGACACATCTTTTGAATTAGTAGATCCCACAAAATGAAATGCCATATCTTATGACACTCAACCTGTGCATGATACAAACGAATTAATTGATTTAATGGTAGAATATCTCTTAATTTTAATAATAGATAATATAATGAATTAAGCCTCGTTATTACATGGTCTCAGTGCTGCGTTCACTCCATAAAGGAGTCCAAATACACACCAAGGAATTTTATATATTTCACTTCATTGATATTTATTCAATTTAAAACTTGAGGTATAAATTATTATTCGAAAACCAGTTATGCGGACTTCAGCCTAGACAACGAAAGATCTATACTATCTTGTAATGGTTCCTCTGAAAAACCAGAAGCTACAATTGAGGTATCATCTCACCCAGAATTAACTCAAATCCCTAGTACCACCAGAGTTTAAATGCCGTATAGCTACATACTGCTGAAAATAATTTGTTTTATCATTGACGTTTACAATAATTTCTCTATGCAGGTGCTATAGAAGACAATCACTAGGAACGAAAATATACAGGGTATGTCCGGAAAGTAATAGGACTCATTTTCTTCCGCCATGACTGTGCGAATGAGCGGCTGGTCAGTTGTCTCCGAGCACTTGGAGAGTCAGGACAGGCATTTTCGCGCGACGTGTTTATGCGAGTGGTGCAAGCCGAAGATGCACCGCTCGTTAGAGCAGAGCTACGCGATTAAATTCTGTGTGAAACTCGGTAAATCAGATATGTTTGATATGATCAAGCAGGCTTACCCAGGTATTGCTTAAGCAAGAAGTGGTGTGTTTCGGTGGCACCAGTCCTTTTTGGAGGGCCGGGAAGAGGTCGCTGATGAAGACCGTGCTGGAAGACCTTCGACTTCGATAAACACCGATAATGTGACTCGTGTGCGCAAAGTTTTGAACTCAAACCGTCGACCAAGTATTCGGTTAATTGCCCAGATGTTAAATTTACCAAAATCTGTGGTTCATGACATTGTGACACAGCATTTGAACATGCGCAAGGTGTGCGCGAAGATGGTCCCAAAAGTGCTCACTGACGACCACACATTGCGGCGAGTGGAAGTGTGCCAAGAAAATTTGAACCTGTGTGAATTTTTGAATAACATAATCACAGGTGACGAGTCGTGGATCTTTGAGTATGATCCCGAGACAAAGAGGCATTCTTCCGAGTGGCACACGACGGCGTCTCCTCGCCCAAAAAGGGAAGAATGAGCAAATCCAAAGTGAAAACGATGCTCATTGTCTGTTTTGACATCAAAGGCATCGTCCAACATGAATTTGTTCCTCCTGGACAAACCGTCAACGCCAAGTTTTACGTGGAAGTGCTCAGGAGACTCAAACGAAGGGTCAGTCGGGTCCGACAAGACATCGCAGCCGACTGGAAGTTGCACCACGACAACGCCCCGGCTCACACCGCCTTTCTTGTGAACAGCTACCTGACCAAGGCCGGCATCCCAACGCTTCCGCAGCCGCCCTACAGCCCAGATGTGGCCCCCCGGACTTTTTTTGTTTCCTCGCCTGAAAAGGCCGATGAAAGGCAAGCATTTTGAGACGACAGACTGGATCCAAGCAGCATGCAACGCGGCTCTCAAGGCTATTCCGGAGAATGCCTTTCGTGACGCCTTCAATGCTTGGAAATCGCGCTGGCAGCGCTGCATCGACGCAGAAGGAGCCTATTTTGAAAGTTTTTAAAGAATTGTAACTCAATAAAATTTTTTAAATCGACTCAGTCCTATTACTTTCCGGGCAAACCCTGTATGGTAGAATTAGTGTATGTTGGGGTTCCTTCCGCGTGTTTCTACAGAAATATGTATCACCATATGAAATAAAAACCCATATTATTTCTACACGTATATTTTGCATACTTAGAAAATCACACAAAATTGTTTTTGAGTTACGTCAAACACGAATTTCGCTTTTTTTCAAAGCTAAACAACTTACAAAGTGACCTACCAAATGCCAGATGTTAAAATACAGAAAAAATTTGTAAAACCAAATTCATTGATAACTTTCACTAGATTAAGACTTATACAATACACTGAAACATCAATCCAAAAGTCAAACTCTTACAAAATGTAAATGGCCATTTTTAGATTATTTCTATAAAGTTATTTTTGAAAACACGGCAAAATTTGACTCTTAATTTACAATAATTGAAACAGCAAAAACGTACAGCCATTTAGATTTATTTTTGGTATTAAGTCAGTGTAAGATTAAAATTAAAAAAATTCAAATACAGGTTAAATTGTTTAATCGTCTCCAGCTTCGTCTTCATCTACATCATCTTCAGCTGAATCTTTCTCTTCTTCTTCCTTCTTTTTTGAAGGCCTTCCACGTCCACGCCCTACACAAAAAAACTGTTTCAAACAGAGGGCTATTAAACGCGAGCTGAGATCTCTAACAGTTTCAACTAATAGCAGCTAAGCGCTTTCTACAATGGTCGATTCTGATGTGTTTCGATAGACCGTACATCCGGTATAGAGGAAAATTAGTTGTTTTCGAACAGAACAAAGAGACAGAAAAATCCTAGATATGGTCTCAATCACCAACAAAAAACAACAGCTACCCGTGCAGTACAAAGTTCCTAGGTATTTACATTGACCAGAATTTGGATTGGGGGATGATATATCATGAATGTCTGTAAAAGGATGACTTCATCATGTTAGTGCCTTAGAATTATGTCCAGGTATTTAGGCATTGAACATCTGAGATATATAATATTTTGGGGAGGCAGTAGTGACTTTGCCAGGGCTTTCAGAGTACAAAAAAGATTAGATCTAAAGACCACAGATGAAAAGGTTAGTTTTTTGAAATTCAAGAAAAAATTCAATATCTCAAAAACGGTGACACTTTTATATAGGTAAGTTTTTGTCATTTGGGAGGTCAGTCGAAAGCCTACCTTCTCCTTAAGTTTGTCATGGAACTTATTGGACACCCTGTATAGAAAGATGTAACCGCATATATTATAAGCAGAAGTGAGAGATAAATTTATGTCAATGATTGCTCGAAAATTATTTTTCTTAAATACTTTTTGAAATTCCCGAAATTTAAAGCTTTAGTATCAGAGTACATGATAGTAGGATTTTAAGTAAAACATTTAGTGAAAAATGAAGTTCTGTGAGGAGCCGTTGTTATTGTATCAATAAAGCGAATATCTCCTGAGTAGATAGAACCATGAAATTTTAACTTATCTTTCAAAAATAGGAGAACTGAGGTAAGTAGAAGCTTATGAGTATAACATAGTAAATAAAATTTAAATAGATTAGGGATAGATAACCATTCCAATTTTATGAATGAGGTCAGGTGGTTATATTTTTTCAAGTTACAGATTAATCGGCAACATGAACTTTGAATTGTTTGCAATCTACTGCTTTTTTGTTTTTATTTTTTATTATGAATTTTCAACATTGTCCTATAATTGAATTTCTATCTGTTGGGCAATAAATAATTGAATTGAATCACGTCAAAATGTATCAACAAACTAGCACAATCTTAGGATGTTAATGCAATGTTATGTTCATATATATATATATACATACATATAAATATATATACATATAAATAAAATTGGTATTACCTTTACCTTTGCCCGCGGCTTTCGCTTTAGGCTTAGCTGGACTCTTGGCTTTCTTTGTTGTGCCTTTTGGTCTACCTCTTCCACGTTTTGCTGGAGATGAACCCTCATCATCACCCTAGAAAATAATATGAACATTTACAACAATTTATAAGCTGTCATTTTTAACAGCGTTTATTAAACATAAAAATGTTATAAATCTGCAAGATGTAGGTTCAACACATTTTTTTTCAAAAAACTGTGATTCGTAAAAAGTGTTTTAAGAAATAGTATCGTATAATTATTTACCTTTCCTTTGCGTTTTTTGGTATCAACCTTATCAGCCTTCTCAGCTTTGTCTGCTGCAGGCTTGCGGCCACGTTTTGAAGGAGTGGTAGGTGCGTCTTCAGACATCTTGTAAGTAGATAGTTCAAGAGAAATTTTCTATCTGTAAGAAGAAACAACACAGTTGATAATATTTCATAGCCAAAATGTGATAAATAAGAGTCTTAAGAAGTTGGCGTTACATTTACATTTACAAGTTTGAAAATAATAAATATCGCCAAGAAGGCGTTCCAAAGTAATGGTATACTAAAAGTTGGGTATAGTCTGATTAGGGTAAGATCAACTTGTTATTGTTGGTAGACACTGACAAAATTGTATTTTAACAATAATAATTCAAAGCAAAAATCGACTTTCATCCTATAATCCCGTCAATTCCAAATGAGGTACCTTCGTAGGAAGGCTAGCACTAGCCTTATAGACTTTTACTCTACTGGGAAATTTAATATAATTTTGAAATTGAAAAAAATCTTCAAAACAAATTAAGACAGTCACTTAAAATTAAGAGTTTACATATACTGTGTAAGTTTAAAAACATAAGTAATCCTCATCAGTTCACATAAGTATTCATAAATTGAACTTAACAAAACACAGTTTAGAATAACAAAAACAGTTTATAGTTTATAATATCTACGTGAATAAATAATAAATTAAAATTATTAGTGAATACATAAATGGTATTATATAGAGTGAACAAAAAAGTTAATCAGACTAACCTATAAGAAACACAAAATGTGTGTGTGTTTAGGAAGTCAATTGCAATACTTATACAGGAAAACTAATTTACCACTTTTTCTGTTCCCAAGTGATTTCAAAGTTTGGAATGTACGAAACCAAATGTTGAAAACACTCTTTTGACAGATGCTGAAGAGGCTGTAGCAGATATCAGTTGTTTTCTAGTGGGCAGTACTTTTTGAATAGCATTGACATTCTATTGGGATTTCCACCCATTTAAAGCTTTTTGATTTACTCGTATTGATCATATTACTCATATGTAAGTAGTTCTTTTGAGGCTTTCAAATCACAGCTCTTTTCTTAATAGATGTGGTTTTGTTAGATCAAGAAATATGCTAACAGATGATATGAAGTGATGCATTTTTATGATCCTTGTGAATTTTCAGAAGTTTTGGCCATTATTCAATGAATGCTTGTAAGCAGTCAGCTAGACAATTCCACCTCACCTCATTAGGAAGAAACTTTTCCTTCCTTTTGCATATGTTGCAGAAGCAAAGTGATTTCTAAAATACTTTATGACAAACACAATAACATGCTCCTTGGTATCCTGAACCTTCACTTTTTTACAAAGTACAAATCTAAACAAACATTTTTGGGCAAATCAAGAAAAATTATGGAGAAGTTATTTCAAAATGCATTATTGCCATATTTGAGGAAAAAATTAGTACAAATTAATACAGGGTGCGCCAAAGGAACCTGAAGTTTTTATAATGATTAGTATGAAGCCGTTATTTGACGTAGAACATCGGTTACAGTGGAAAAGACATCGGTAGTAGATGCCATTTCAGTAGACACAACGTCTATTTCATGTACATTTAAATAATGGACGTCGCGGTTCTGTTCCATGCCATAACACAATAAAGTTATGGGTTCAACATTTTCGTCGATCTGTATCAACAACGCCACCAGGAACGCCTCGAACACTTCGGACTCCAGCAAATATTGAGAGGGTGCGAACTTCAGTTCAACGAAGTCCACGTCGTTCCGTCAGGCGACATGCAATTACTAAAAGACTTTCCGAAACAACAGTACGGCGTATTTTGCATAAGGATTTACATTTTCACCCGTACAAATTAGCAATTGTTCAAGAACTGACATCTGAAGATTTTTTAAACAGTTTGAATTGTTGCAATCAACTTCTGGAACTTTTGGATCAAAACGCTTTAGGTGGCTTACTTATGTCTGATGAGGCATATGTCGATTTATCAGGCGCAAATAAACATAATTTTCGCTACTGGTCTTCAGAAAATCCCAGAAAACTCCACCAACGACCCCTTCATACTCGCAAGGTTGCTATGTGGTGCGGAGTGTCGCGATTCGATATAATTGGCCCCTATTTTTTTGAGGACGATGCAGAAAATCCTGTCACGGTCAATTCGCAACGTTATGTGGAAATGTTAAACACATTTTTGGAACCAGAGCTTCGTCGACGGAACATCGACTTAAATACTGTATGGTTCCAACAAGATGACGATACAGCGTATACAGCACGAACGTCAATGGCTCGACCGCGAAAAATGTTTCCGGGAACGGGCTGGCAAGGTCGCACGGCACGGGTATCATGTAAAAAAACTATAAAACGTCAAAAAAACCTATAAGATGTCAACTTGCAGACTAGGTAGTTCTTAGGGCGCAAACGGTCATTCCACGTTTGCTCACTAGGATCGTTGTGAACGTCCATCTATGGAGGAATCACTCAACTAAACTACGCATTATTGGTTGCATAGTTTTGTGAAGCCAAGTAATCTGTAGTTTTCATCTCTGAGAAGAAAGTTGGTTGAATAGCAAGATCGCATCTGTATGATTATATGTATTGATCTGCACGTGTATAAAATCAGTGATATTTGTGTAATTATCATCAACACATACAACTTACAGCTTAGACCTCCAGTAATGCCATCTCAGAAGCAGATTTTACATCACATCAGAGCCAAAGATTGATAACACGTATCTTGAAAAGTGACATTATACCGATTTTTTTGACGTTATGCTGTTTTTTCTACAAGATGTTAACTTAGCACTTAGTTGTACGAGTTGCCTAAACGTCATGAGGCTTGTTATCAATCTTTGGCTCTGATGTGATGTAAAATCTGCTTCTGAGATGGCATTACTGGAGGTCTAAGCTGTAAGTTGTATGTGTTGATGATAATTACATTGGGTTCTTCTTTGCTCTCGTTCTTCCTTCTCTCCTTTCCTTCCCTTTTTTCCTTGAAATTGTCTGGTTTCTGGGTTACCAGACCTGACAGACTTACAAACTGACACTGTGACTCAAGAGCTAAGGTCCTACGGACCGCTCTGACAACCAACGATGACTTGACTTGACATTGGGTTCTTGTCTCAAATAGACTTAATTGCGATTCAAATTAGTTGCGCATCCACTTTTTCTTATCCATTCTGGAAATTACATATACAAATTTGCTGAATTTCAAAAATGAGAGAGATAAGAAATAATTATATTCACTGTACACTGTCGAATTACAAGCCATATACATGCTAACAGTAATTACACACAACGCGGCCGCGGTGATGATTTCCCGTAATTCTCCTCAGTTTTTAGTTATTTATAACTTTGAACATAACCTCTCTTCAGGAAGCACAACATAAAAATAACCCGTCGGGCACAGCCAATAGATATACTTCATTGGTAGCATATTCAGTAATGATTTTCTCACACAGCAGATATCACTGATTGTATACACATGCAGGCCAATACACATAATCATCCAGATGCGATCTTGCTATTCAACCAACTTTCTTCTCAGACATAACTACAGACAAGGACCATTTGGCCTCACAAAACATATGCAACCAATAATGAGAGTAGTTTAGTTGAGTGATTCCTCCTTAGATGGACGTTCACAACGATCCAAACGTGGAATGACTGCGCCCTAAAAACTACCTAGTTTGCAAGATGACATCTTATAGGTTTTCTTGACGTTTTATAGGTTTTCTACATGATACCCGTGCCGATCTCACGGCTTGTGACTATTGGTTATGGGGTTATCTTAACCCTTTCAGTACGACTGACATATTGATACGTCAGTTATAGAATATACCCACCGGCCGGCTGACGTATATATCCGACATCGACGAATTACATCCATTGGCCTACTGCCTTACAGTTGCGACACCTTTAGAAACTTGCATTTTACCACAGACGAGCGTCGGAATATGTCAACGTTTCGCTCACCGCTTGGCCGGACGACGGAAGATTTTGGCTTTGCCGAAAATGTACTACATCCGGCTACACTGTCTAACGTCTGTATCATGCTTACGATTTTTGAAACCGAGCACTAGACCATTAGACTGATTAGTCTTACATGAAATGGCGGAGCAAGAGCGCCGTGGTCCATCTATATATACGTGATACGCCACTGGTGTGATATGTGTCGTGTTTGGGGTTCTGCTGAAAATTCATAGTTTTGAGTGGTAAAAAGTGGCCAAAAAATTTGGAATTTTCGTGCAAATATCAGTAATAAGTGCAGTTAACAATCCTGTGAAGTGAGACCTGCATGCAATCTGCTTAAACGGAGTTACTTGAAATCTTCTTCATTTTATATGAACCAACTTTTTTGCTGCATTCCTTGAGCAGTAACAAATACGTTTATTTGTGGTCAGACCAGAGGCGTAACATGGATGTCTTCAACAGTCGCCTGAAGCAAACAATGATTGCCGACAATCCTGAGGCTGGAGCCGACGTTGCCACAATTACCGCAAATTCGCGGAATGGTGGGGAACGAAGAGAACGAAGATAGTTGTATAAAATGTAAAGCGGATATAAAGGAAGATTACTACACGTGTGACGTATGTAATGGGAAGATTCACCAGGTTTGTGCACAGCTAAGTAGCTCAGAAGTGAGATGTATGCCTCTACAAAAAAGAACACTGCTATATGCTTGTGTAAACTGCAAATATGTTTTAAAGAAGATTCCAAATTTAGTTATTCTTATGGAAGATGTAAAAAACAGCTGGCTGATAAATCAACCACTACTCCAGTACCCATACCAATCCAACAATCTCAATATAGTGATGTTTTAAAGAAAAGGTGTGAGGAAGTAATAGTTATCAAACCAAAGGACAAAACACAAGACAGTTCAAAAACGAAAAAAGCAGTTGAAGAGAAGATAAATCCAGCAGAGATAGGTGTAGGAGTATCTAGAGTGAAATATGTAAAAGAAGGAGGTATTGCTATAAGTTGTACAAAAAAGAAGACATTACCAACATATCTGAGAATATAAAAGAGAAATTGGATAAGGAGTACGAAATAAATATCCCAAAAAAGAAAAATCCTAAGATAAAAGTAATAAATATTCAGCAGAAATATATTGAGACTCCAGACACACTTATTGAAACCATTATCAAGCAGAATGGTATTTCTACAGCAGAGGATGAAAGAGTGCTCAAAATAATAAGCGCCTATGAACATAAAAGCAAGAAATATGGAATAATAATATTACAGGTGGACCAGACAACATTTGATCTAATAAATAAAAAAGAAGTGTTATACATAGGCTGGAAAAAATGTAAATATTTTGAACATGTTAATGTCATTCAATGCTATAAATGCTGGAAATTTGGTCACATGGCTCAACAATGCACTAATGCAAATGTTGTTTGTCCAAAATGCAGTGGAAACCATAAACAAGAGGAGTGTACAAGTGAAGACAATGTATGCGTTAATTGTAAATATGCTTTGGATGTTCTAAAACTACAAGTGCGTTATAACCACACAGCATACAATAGAAATTGTGAAGGTTACAAAAGAATATTTGAACAGTTTCAAATGAGAGTATCCTATCCCCAATTACATGTGAATAAACAAAACAAATAGCAATTAAGTAATGCTATAATGTACCTTAACATTAACAGTTACACAGCACATTCAACGGAGCTCAAGTGGGTGATAAATAAATGGAGACCAATAGTAATTTGCCTTGTAGAAACGCATATAACACCAGAAATTAGTGCAAACGAAATTGACATCGAAGGGTATAAAGGTATCCATACATTCTCTTCAAGCCGTCACACTGGAGGGGCATCGATATATGTAAAAGAAGAATCAAAGTTCAGAAAAACAGTTGATCTGGTGGTAGAAAAAAATATGTGGCCCAGTGGAATTTATATAAAGTTGAATAACACACATTACAACATACTCAGCATGTATCACTCGCCAAATTCAAGTCACAGTGAATTTTTATCTCAATTAGAAGATATATTAGTAGAATCTGCCATAAAGCCTGAAACTCTTGATGATAGGTGACTATAATATAGATCTTTCCGATGATACATATTATTCAAGAAAATTGAAAGATGTTATTGATCGAAATGGACTTTACCAACTAGTGCAACAATCTACAAGAATTACATCACAAAGTGCAACAAAAATAGATCTTATAATTACTAATGACAATCAAATTGTACATAATCTGCACTACACACCAAAAATAGCTGACCATTCCATTATAACAATCAACATCACAGAAGTTTCAACATGTGAAAAGAGGATTTCTTTTCGTGATACCAAAGACTTTAATGAATTGCAGTTCCAGCTAGACTTACTTGATTACAATTGGCCCAAAGATTTATACATCCTACATGACAAGGCAAATTTCTTGGTGAAAACCCTTACTGAAATAGTTGATTCACATGCTCCTATAGTGGTGAAAGAAATAAATTGTAAATGGGGAAATAAAATGTGGTGGACAGTTGAACTGGACAACATCATAACAGAAAGATACAGGAGGTACAAAAGAGCAATAATTACACAAGCAGAGGATGACTGGGAATTATACAAAGAGCAAAGAAATTTAGCAGTTAAAAAAATAAGAGAACAAAAGAGATACTTTTACCAAGAAAAAATTGATGAATCGAGAAGAGACTCTAGAGAAATGTGGAGAACCTAGAAGAGTATAATTGGTTCTAGGAGCAAGTTTAAGGCAATAGATGGTATCATGTTTGATGGCAAACTGATAACAGACAGTCTTGAAATCGCCAATAGTTTCAATCACTTCTATATAGAGAGCATAAATGAGCTAAGTACTATACCTGATCCAACAGAATGTGACAGAATGCTTGACAGTATAGTAACACCACCTAAAAAATTCACAGAGTTCAAGATATTACAGATATCAGAACTTGGGAAAATTGTGAATGATCTGAAAAACAAAAAAAGTAGCACTGATGGAATAAACACAAAGATATTGAAGCTCTCATTTGAAGCCATTGGCAATCGTTTCCTGGATGTAATAATCCAAAGCTTACAAACTGGGTCATTTCCAAGTGGATGGAAAATGTCAACTATTATTCCCATAGGAAAAGTTAGTGGAACTATTCAGTGTGAAGAACATAGACCAATTAATATGGTACCAGCATATGAAAAACTTCTAGAAACGGCAGTTAATATCCAGGTTCGAGACTATGTGAGTGCAAGCAATATTATTAAAAACTGTCAAGCAGGTTTCCAAAGTGGTCACTCATGTGAAAGTGCTCTACAGTCAGTGATATCTAACTGGAAATCTTCATTAGACAACTAAGAAATGGTGGGCGTGGTTTTCTTGGACTTTCGCAGAGCATTTGAAACTGTTAACAGAGAATTACTAATTAGGAAGTTACAAAGATATGGCTTTCAAGGTAAAGTCCTAGGTTGGTTTTCACAATACTTGGAAATGAGATCTCAAAAAACCAAATATTTAGAATCATTATCTGAATCTAAGATCAATGTACATGTTGTTCCACAGGGTACTGTGCTGGGCCCAGAATTGTTTTTGTTGTACATAAATGACATTGTTAATATAATTAAGAAGTGTGAAATTCAACTCTTTGCAGATGACACTATGCTTTTTGTTAAGGGTGATTCAGTGGATGATATAATAAACTTTTTAAATGAAGATTTAAATAATATATATAAATGGTTAAACAATAATAGTTTAAGTGTGAATGTGAATAAAACTAAATGTATGATATTGAAATCTAAGCATAATGTAACTAACACATACAATAACAAAGGTATAGTAATTAATGGTAGTAGACTAGATCAAGTTGATGAATGTAAGTATTTAGGAATAATTATAGATAAAAATTTAACGTTTTCAAAACATGCAATTTATATAACCAAAAAGCTATCAAAGAAAGTGAATTTATTATGTAGAATGGGGAGTGTCTGGGCTAAATTAATTATATATAAGACGATAATCCTACCACATTTCAGTTACTGTGCAACAATCTTGTATATGTTTAAGAAAGGTGATATTGATATTATTCAATAAAAAACAAAACCAGGCATTGAGAAGTATTTTGGGATGGGGGTAGAATTAAAGACATACTGACATCTACAAATTTATTAAGTGTAAGCCAGGAGATCTTTTATAACACTATGGTGGTAGTATACAAAATAAGTGTACCCAGAGCATATTATTAATAAATTAAAAATGGTCAGCGATATACATAGTTATAATGTTAGATCTAATTCCAACTTTTATGTGTCTCGGGTACAATCTTCCTTTGCCCAAAACAGCTTATTTTATAAGGGCCTTGTAGATTTTAATAGGATTCCAGAAGAAATTAAAACTACAAATTTTGTTAACTTCAAAAGGCATTTAAAAAAATATGTAATAGAAAATTGTAGTTTATAAGTTTAGATCCTAATGTTTTCTCTGTTAGCAGATTGCTAGGAAATAAAGATCATCATCTAAAAGGCCTACACGTGGCCAAAAGCGTAAGCAACAACAACAACAGCAAAACCACTTCATTTTGATCAGGGACGTGCAAGGCTGACAGAACGGCATTTTCCGGAATTGGTTCCAAGAGGGGAAAAAACTGCCACTAGGAGATGCAGAGTCTGCTCCCAGACAAAAGCAGGAACAAAGAAAAGAAAGGAGAGCAGCTACATGTGTAGGGAATGCGACGTTGGGCTATGTGTAATGCCCTGCTTTCGGATTTATCATCAAGTAGCCGACTTTTAAAAATTAACTTGCTCAATGTTTTTTTTTTCGTTCAGTTCTGAGTTTTTTTATTATATTTTCAGTATTTAAATGCTTGATTCTAATTGAGTGCTGCATTGTTCCCTGTGTTCCTGTACTTTAGGCCCGTATCGTCAGTCGTCCCTACAATTGTAGGGCGCGTTTATGGCCTCCTTGATTGTCATACTCCTTTCTCTCCTTCAAAAATTTCTAGAGTACACTCGTCCCGTGTCAGCGTCAGCACTTTCCTATTGTGAAGATATGTTTACTTTTTAAATTGATAAAACATGATATAACTCAAAAGCAAGCACAATTTGATGCAAATATATGTTTGACATAACCTCAAAATAGAGCGCTGACACGGAGACGTAGAAAACTATGACAATCTAGGAGGCCATAAAGGCGCCCTACAATTGGAGGGACGACTGACGATACGGGCCTTAACCTTTATTATGGTGACGTATATACACGTAACATCAGGCGCCCAGACAATGCAAAATGAGTCGGCGGTGGTGACAATTCCGATGGGTATGCTACAGCGCGTAATGGGAAACTTGCGAAAGCGTTTGGAACAGTGTGTCCGCAGTAAAGGACGTCATTTAAGCGAAATTATTTTCCATAAATAAAACATCTTGAAAGATACATTTGTAGTTACATATTAAAACTCGTCAGGTTCCTTTGGCGCACCCTGTATAAACAAAAATCATGAATAAAAAAATCGTAATTTTTTGCAACACAAACTCATTTGCTATTAAAGCAATTACCGACTGATCCCCATTGATCCAACTTTGAGTTACGCCCATGTCCTCTACCGCTCAAAGGCGAAAATACCCGAAGATCAGATCGGCAAAGCCAAGCTCTAGCAACTAGCAAGTCAACAGCAAACACCAGGGTACAAAAAGATAGAACGGTTTGATTGTGTAGCAGATGCTATATCAATATAGATTTTTTTGACTGATATAACAATAAATGCTTTAAACACATTTTTTGTTCGAAATATATTATTGCTTGTTTGTTTGAAGATATTTAGGCCCACGTATTTTTCTGTGTTCACGTTTTGTATTGTAGATATAGAGAAGGCTGTGTTTACAAATATTACAGGCGTATCCCCATTTAAATTCTATATTGCATATGGTGTTGATTTTTCATAGATGATCGGTGCCGAAGGTTTACAATAAATACGATAAAAATGATAGATATGACTTTTTGTGCTGCTTCTTGGGTATGATCACATACGTGGTAAACAAGGCTATAAATATCGAGAGACAAAAAACCCATTA